TATATGAACTCATAAACATATATGCATAACCCGTGTACATAGACAATGGGGTAGTGAGGGTCTGGGCAGAGGGAGGACGGGAGTGGGCTGGAAGAGATTAATGGGGGGAAAAGGAGGACCTATGTAATACTTTCAACAATAAAGATTTTTTTTTTTAAAGTAAAAATATAAATAAATAAAACATCTCTCTGCTTACTGCTGTTGAAATTATTTTACCAAGTAAAAGAGGCTCTGTTTCACATATATACATACAAAAGTGGATAAAAAGAAAATGCTTTTGGTTTGTGCAGATTTTACTACACTCTAAATTACCAATTGCATGTCCTCATTAATTGAGGACTTCCATCAACCTGTGATCTTTACTTCAACTCCTGATATAAGTGACATCAGTGTTCATCTACAATCTGCATTTCTTAACTCTTCATATAAGAATCACCTGATGAACTTTTAAACACTGATGTCCAGATCCTACCTGCAGATAATTATGACTTAACTAGAGGCCCGGTGCACAAAAATTTGTGCATCTGGGGGGGTTGGGGTGGAAGTCCTCAGCCCGGCCTGTGTCCTTCACAGTCTGGGATCTCTTGGGGGATGATCACCTGCTGGCTTAGGCCCAGTCCCAAGCTGGCAGTCAGACATCCCTCTGGCAGCCCGGGAGCCCTCAGGGGATGTCCACTTGCCAGTGGGGAGCAGGCCTAAGCTGCAGTCTGACATCCTTAGTGCTGCTAAGGAGGTGGGAGAGGCTCCCACCACCACTGCTGTACTGGCAGCCGTCAACCTGGCTTGTGGCTAAGCAGAACTCCCCCTGTGGGAGCACACTGACCACCAGGGGGCAGCTACTGCATTGAGTGTCTGCCCCCTGGTAGTCAGTGTGTGTCATAGTGACCAGTCATTCCCAGTCGTTCTGATGTTAGGTGCCGGAAGTCGGTCCATCCTTGTTGCTTGACACAGTTGCTGCAGGGAAGAAACATCTGCACAGCATATGTTTCAAGGGACCTGGCGTATATAGCATACTGTTCTTAATGTGTTTGCTACCCTTCTTAGCACTATGTGTTTTAACCAAGGTCACCTCTCCGAGAAAGGTTGTTTCCCCAGGTAGGGATTTTTCCCTGAAGTTAGGGAGGGAATAAAACCCCTTAACTAAGTGCCAGGCGGGTAGTTAATCACTTTAACTACAAACAATCATGCTTAAGCTACATAATCTTTACTCACTGGAATGGAGATAAGAAACGCCCTAACCTTTAGAATAGAAATTGATAGGATTAAAATCAACTGGTATAACTACAGATGTAACAAGACAATAAGACACAGAACCTGGCTGGAGAGCCTGACTAGAGAACCTGGCTAGGCTGCTGATCAACGAACGCAGCCTCCGTGTCCTTTATTCTTCACCAATTGCGTCCACACCTTTGGGAACCCCTGGACCTACTGGGGCTGGACCCCAACAGTTAGGGTCATTTTGCATATTACACTTTTATTATATAGGATAGAGGCCTGGTGCATGGGTGGGGGCTGCCTGGTTTGCCCTGAAGGGTGTCCCAGATCAGGGTGGGGGTCCCGATGGGGTGCCTGGCCAGCCTGGGTGAGGGGCTGATGGGTGTTTGCAGGCTGGTCAAGCCCCCCCCAGTGGGGACCCTCACCCCATGGAGGTTTGGCCAGCCTGCGTGAGGGGCTGAAGGCTGTTTTCAGGCTAGCCACACCCCCTTTAGGGTGGGGGGGTCCCCACTGGGGTGCCTGGCCCGTCTGGGTGAGGGACTGAGGGCCGTTTTCAGGCTGGCCAAGCCCCCCCAGCGACGAAAGCTCCCAGCCTCTCCTTTTTTTTTTTTTTTAATTCTGGGATTTATTTATCCTCTATAATTGAAACTTTGTTGCCTGAGTGGAGCTCAGAGCCAGCTGACCCGCGGGAAGCTTGGCTGCCTCCTGCTCGCTCCAGCTCTGTGGCCATGGCCAGATGAAAGCAGGTATCTGGGGTTTATTTACCTTCTAGAATTGCAACTTTGTTGCTTTGAGTGGAGCTCAGAGCCCGCTGCGGCAGGCGGGAAGCCTGGCTTCCTCCATCATTGGGGCAACCAAGCCTCCTGCTTGCTTCAGCTGCATGGCTGCCGGCCACCAAATTGGTTGGGTTAATTTGCATATGGTCGCTCTGATTGGCTGGTGGGCGTGGCTTAAGGTGCAGCAAAGGTATGGTCAATTTGCATGTTTGTCTTTTATTAGTGTAGATTATCTGGAATGGGGCCCATACATAGATATTTAAGAGCTCCCTGGGTGATTTTAATGTATAGGAAGGATTTAGCGCCCCTAATCTAAATCTCTGGTCCAAAAATCTAGCCTTAAAGTTTTCTCAATCTCAATGCCAATTACCTTCACCCACCTTCTGTCCCTCACCACTATATATCGAACGTTAATCACCCAGAACTGTTCTGTCTTGAAAACTCTACACTCTAAATTACCAATTGCCTTATCTTTCTGCCACACCCTGTCTTCAAGCTCACTAAGCTTTTCTTGTTCCTCAACCCCTCATTTCTTTCAATCCACCTTCCCTCTCACTGCCTGACTCCCTTTCTTAAACAGTCCCTATCACATAGACTCCCTTTCTTAAAGAGTCCATATCACATAATATATTACCTCCATAATTCTCTAGGTCAGAACCTTCAATATCCTTATCTCCCTGGGTCAACCACTCAACTTGCAATCTTCAATACAACTTGCTTTCCTCATTTCTAATCTGGGCTTCTTAGGTATAAAACTTACGGTGCACAAAGTCCTCAGCAAATCTTATTAAACACTCCTACTCAGAAGATATTTGTAATGTTTACTCCAAAGCTTCAGTGCTGAACTCAAGTGTTCCTCCACCTTCTCAACTTTGAATAGATGATCTTGCTACCTCTTACTTCAGAGAACAACAATGGCTATTAGATATGAACTTTCTCAAATCCATTCTCACACATTAATCTAACTGAAGAACTGGAGGGCCCTTCTAACTGGTCTTCATGACACTGATATAACTGATTAATCCCATCTTAATACTTTTCCCCAGCTCCCCTGCCTAGCAATAGCCTCCTGGCGTATCTCTCTGCTTCCAGTCTTAATAGATTTTTAAGCCAACTTTTACTGCAATATGTTCTATGATATAATATAGCATGCATACATAATGCAGAATGGTGTACTTAAGGTTTATATCATAACTTCTTCCATAATTTCAGCATGAGTGGTTCCCATTATCTGAAATTATATCCCTGTACATAAATCCTGCTTATATTTTATGGTATCTAAAAACATTCTGCGGGGTTCTATAAATGTTGTACCATTCAACACTAAGTATTGCTTTGAAGATTAGGAAGTTCATACATAAAATCTTTCATTTGTAGTAAGCAGGCACTAGATAAATATAAAATTACAGTAAATTACCGTTTAAAGTAAGTTATCCCCGCCCTGGCAGGTTTGGCTCAGTGGATAGAGCGTCAGCCTGCAGACTGAAAGGTCCTGGGTTTGATTCCGGTCAAGGGCCCATGCCCAGGTTGTGAGCTTGATCCCCAGTAGAGGACGCACAGGAGGCAGCCAATTAATGTTTCTCTCTCATCACTGATGTTTCTATCTCTGCCTCTCCCTTCCTCTCTGATATCAATAAAATAATTTTTTAAATAATAAAATAAGTTACCCCTCTTTGTACCATATTTTATAATTTGGAACCATCTAAATGTGTTAAATTAAAAAAAAAAAAAAAAAAAAAAGAATTAGAAAAGAAAAAAGGCAATCCCCAAAGACTGAAACAAAGTAAAACCCAACTATATATCCAACTGGTGGCATAATCCCACCAGAAATCCTTTTAATTAACTTTGAAAAATAAATTCGTAATGGGATATATCCTTGTACAGGTGGGGGTTCTAAAAAATAAAAAAAATTTAAAAACCATCCTTTTTCCCATCCCTGCATTTGTCCTACATCATGTTTATCGATATCACTTGTTTGTTGTTCTAGGTAAACTATAAAATATTTTTATCAAGTTGAAAAAAATTTAAAAATTGGGATTTTGATTAGAAACATAAAGTCTATATAATAACTTAAAAAGAAATCACATATGGTAATAATTAAGTCTGCTCATTCTGAAAGATATATGGTAAGTCTCTTCATTTTTTCCATCTTAAATCATTTTAGATCAATCCCAACCTAAGCTGTAACCTAGGCCAAATGACAATTTTAAAGGTAACACCACCCATCTAAGTAGGTTATAGGATTTACTTGTAACATATAAGTAATAAACAACTAATATATAAACAAATATATCCATACACTATCAAGCCCACAAGCCCAATCTCCTGGTGCTTATAATGGGCCTGTGCAAAAGTTTAAGATTGACAGCTTCTTGACCTTCCTCAAACCCTCCCTTGGGTTTCCATATAGGATTTTGCGGAGTGCATATATTTAGTCAATAAACAGTGAACTCCTTACTATATGCCATGTACTGGATATATTGCTGGGAAAATAGGAATAAGCAAAATAGCAGGCTCCTTGAGAAAAGACCTGATTCAAACTTCCAACTCCCAGAGCCACAAAGAGACAAGCAGTAAGACAGCATACCAGAAGCTGCCTACCTGCCTGCTCCTGATGTGCCCCTACTTTAGAATTTCATATATCCAATTTGCAAACATTTTTAAGAATATAGAAAAATAGGTGTCAGCCAATAACAGGAACAGGTGCTTAAATACTTTGTGAAGTGATGGACTGACCTTAACTAAACCTAAAATTTTCTTCACAAATATAAACCTTTCATTTTAGAAATATAAGCAGGAAATATAAAATAGGGATTTTCCAAATAAATAAAATGTTGACTTTTACTTTCACACTTTTAACTTTTAAAATTTAAGCTTAATCTATTTATATTTCAACCTAGAATGGTAAATTTTTGGCCCTTGAAGATTTTGTTAAGAGGCCTAGCTGTGGTGTACCAAAATGACTTAGACTCTAGGTTTTCAATTATTCTACATGAAGAAGGAACTTACACTGGGGTGATTTCGAGGAGGTGCTCGTTCTCTTGGAAGCCTTTCGTAGTCATGTCGTCCTTCAGACCACATTTCATCTCTTCTGTGAGCCACTAGGATAAAAAAGAAACCAAAGAATTATGATTTTTTTTTGTTATTAGGCAATAATAGAGAAGCTGACAGAGTAAATGACTACTTTCCAACACAACTATTTTCCAGAGATACTAAAGGAAAAAAAAAAAAGTAAATGGCGAAAAGAAAAAAAAGAATGATTAATGCAATTCTTCTTCCAATTTTGAAATTTTCTTTTAAAGAAAATAGAAAGCTCCCCACCCCTTCCATTCTAAAAAAAAAAAAAAAAAAAAAAAAAAAAAAAAAGAAAGAAATCCATAAAGGTGTGGGGTTATTTCTGGGCTCTCTATTCCATTCCATTGACTTATATGTCTGTTTTTATGCTGGTACCATGCTATTTTTATTACTATGGCCTTGTAGTCTAGTTTGATATCAGGTGGCATGATTCCTCCAACTTTGTTCATCTTCAAGATTGCTGTGGCAATTTGGGGTCTTTTGTGGTTCCACATAAAGTTTTGGAATATCTGTTCTAGTTTTGTGAAACACGCCATCGGTATCTTGATATGAATTGCATTGAATCTATAGATTGCCTTAGGTAGTATGGATTTTTTTTTTTTTTAACGAACACCTTTATTACATGAGCTAAGATAGGAGGGAAGAGGATTTATTTGCCTTTCCAAGCCTCGATTTCCCACAGAAAACTCTAGCTCCTTGCCCTCTAGCACATAATCATCTGTGCGGCAACACTGGCCTGATCTTAAAGCAATGCATGCCAGAAGTTTGCCCTGCTGAAACTGCTTCTTGAGAAGACTGCTGATTTTGGCATTCTTTCTCCTTTGATCAGGTTTTCTGAATTTTCTTTGGTCGATTTTTGTTTAAAAGCTCTTCCTCCTCCGAAGTCAGCTTGGCCCCCTTTTTGTGGCCCAGGGGCAGTGCATAGTGGGTACATTGTCCTGTCAATTAGCACAATGCAATTCTTTACTAAGCTCCTGGTGCAGATCAGTTCATTACTGAATGCACTGTAAACAACATCAATAATCCTTGCTTTGTATCTACAACACTTGGAGCCCCAGGAGTTGCCCACACCCCGCCTCAAGGCTCAGTACTTCTTGTTGCTTCCCCACATGCAGATTATGTGTATGTGATAGAGTTCAATCTTTGTGTTGGCAGCAGGGTGTCTCAGCTCATATTTTCGCTTCTTTTGGAAGGGCTTTCTCTTGCTCCTGGTCTTGTAGGGCTTATGCCAGTTGTCCCAAGAGATGCCCATGGCTTGGCACAGGCTGGGAAGAGCTAGTATGGACATTTTAATGATGTTATTCTCCCTATCCATGAACACAGCAGATGCTGCCACTTATTTGTGTCTTCAGGTTCTTTCTTCAATCTATATATATAAAAGGCTAAGTGACCAACCATACGTCCGTCCGACCATCTGGTACATATGACATACACTGGCAATTTAAAAATAAACATTGACTAGCGCATGTACGATACATATAAAGCTCTCACTGGCGCCAATCGCATGTGTTTGAATTTTATAATACTACTAGAGAACCGGTGCACAAAAATTTGTGCACTCGGGGGAAAGGGGGGGTCCCTCAGCCCGGCCTGTGCCCTCTCGCAATCTGGGACCCCTCGGGAGATAACGACCTGCTGGCTTAGGCCTGCTCCCGGGTGGCAGAGGGCAGGCCCAATCCCTAGGTGCAGCCCCTGGTCGGGCTCAGAGCAGGGCCGATTGGGGAGTTGGGGCGCCGCCCGTCATGCACAGACAGGGCGGATCGGGAGGTTGCGATGCCATCCTCAGTCACGCTCAGGGTAGGGCCGATTGGGGGGTTGGGGCACGGCCCCCTGTCACACTCAAGGCAGGGTCAATGGGGAGGTTGCGGCGCCACCCCGTCACGCACAGAGCAAGGCCAATCAGGTGGTTGGGGTGCTGCCTCCTGTCACTCACTGAGCAGGGCCAATCAGGGGGGTTGGGGCTCCGTACCCTGTCACGCACAGAGCAGGGCCCATCAGGGGGTTGGGAGCTCCCCCTGTCACGCACAGAGCAGGGCCGATAGGGGAGTTGGGGCACCGCCCCCTGTCACACACAGTGCAGGGCCGATCAGGGGGTTGGGGTGCCGCACCCTGTTACACTCAGGGCAGGGCCGATGGGGAGGTTATGGCTCTACCCCGTCACACACAGAGCAGGGCCCGTGGGGGGGGGGGGGGGGGCGCCGCACCCTGTCACACACAGAGCACGGCCGATCAGGGGGTTGGGGCGCCGCACCGTCACACACAGAGCCGCAGGGCGATCAGGGGGGTGGGGGGGCGCCCCCCTATCAGGCATAGAGCAGGGCTGATCAGGGGATTGGGGCCCTTGCCCTGTCACGAACAGAGCAGGGCAGATAGGGAGGTTGTGGCCCCACCCCGTCACACACAGAGCCGCAGGGCGATCAGGGGGTTTGGGCGCTGCCCCGTCACACTGATCCCGTTGCCGGGAGGCCTCGCGGCTCCACTGATCCCGGTGCTGGGAGGCATATTACCCTTTTACTATATAGGATAGAGGCCTGGTGCACGTGTGGGGGCCAGCTGGTTTGCCCTGAAGGGTGTCCTGGATCAGGGTGGGGGTCCCCACTGGGGTGCCTGGCCAGCCTGGGTGAGGGGATGATGGTTGTTTACAGCTGGTCACACGCCCTTCAGGGTGGGGGTCCCCACTGGGGTGCCTGGCCAGTCTGGGTGAGGGGCTGAGGGCTGTTTTCAGGCTGGCGGGTGACGGAAGCTCCCAACTGCCCCTTTTTTTCTTTTTTTTTTTATTCTGGGCCAGCTTTAGCTCTGAGGCTCCAGCTCTTAGGCCTCCGCTGCTGAAAACAGGTATCTGGTTTGTTTGGGTTCTATAATCAAAACAATGTATAACTCTAGCTCTGAGATCCCGGCTCGATGAAAGCAGGTTTCTGGGGTTTTGTTTAGCTTCTATATTTGTTACAATGTTCAAACTGCAGGCTCAGAGGCCGGAAAGGCAGGCGGGGAACGTTGGTTTCCTCCGTCACTGAAGCAAGAAAGCCTCATGTTAGTTTCAAGCTGCCTGGCTGCCGGCCGCCATCTTGGCTGACAGTTAATTTGCATATCGCCCTGATTAGCCAATGGGAAGGGTAGCGGTCTTACGCTAATTACCATGTTTCTCTTTTATTAGATAGGATCTATATATATAAAAGGCTAATGTGCAAAGTGTCCCCTTGGGAGTTCAACCGGGAGTTTGATTGCTTGCTATGATAATGCGCTGACCACCAGGGGGCAGCGCAGAATGAAGACCCCAGCCGACAGCTGAGGAAAGAAGGCCCTGGCTGGCAGCCAGAAGGCCCTGATCAGTTCTGATCACCGGCCAAGCCTAGCAACCCTACCCATGCACAAATTTCGTGCACTGGGCCTCTAGTTTTATATATACTATTCTGACATGCAATGTTTTGCAGTAACGTAATTACCGCACAAATCTTTCTTCTAATTAATTTCCTTTCAACTTGCACAAATCTGTGCATTGGGCCAGTAGTGTTTTATAATTTTCTGAGTACAGGTCTTTTGCATCCTTGGTTAAATTTATTTCTAGGTTGTTTTTTATGCAATTCTAAGTGAAGATAGTTTCCTTTTCCAACAGTTCATTATTGGTGTATAAAAATGCATCTGACTTCCGGATATATTTGTATCCTGCTACTTTATTGAATTCATTTATCAGTTCTAGTAGTTTTGGTGGAATCTTTAGGGTTCTCTATATACAATATCATGTCATCTGCAAATAATGACAGTTTTACTTCTTCCTTTCCAATGTGGATGCCTTTTATCTCTTCTTGTCTGACTGCTATAGCTAGGACTTTCAATACTACGTTGAATAAGAGTGGTGAAATAGGCAAGCGCTTTCCTTTTCCTCTTCCGGGGACGGTGACTCGTGTTTAGGTATTCATCATGGTCCAGCGTTTGACATACCGTCGGAGGCTGTCCTACAACACAGCCTCCAACAAAACCAGGCTATCCCAAACCCCTGGTAATAGGGTTGTTTACCTTCATACCAAGAAGGTTGGGAAAGCACCCGAATCTGCATGTGGCGTGTGCCCAGGCCGACTTCTCGGAGTTCGTGCTGTGAGACCTAAAGTTCTAATGACGTTGTCTAAGACGAGAAAACACGTCAGCAGAGCCTACGATGGAGCCATGTGTGCTAAATGTGTCTGGGACAGGATCAAGCGTGCTTTCCTTATTGAGGAGAAAATCGTTGTGAAAGTGTTGAAGGCACAAGCACAGAGTCAGAAAGCTAAATAAGTTAAAAAATGAAGCTTTTTTGAGTAATAAAAACAAAAGTCTCATTCTGTTAAAAAAAAAAAAGTGGTGAAATAGACATCTGTCTTATTACTGATCTTAAGGGAAACACTTGTGTAGTTTTTGCCCACTGAGAATTATGTTGGCTGAGGTTTGTCATATATGGCCTTTATTACATTGAGGTATGTTCCCTTTATTCCCACTTTGCTGAGAGATTTTATCATAAAAGAGTGCCAGATTTTATCAAATCTTTTTCTAGATTATTGATATGATCATGTGGTTTTTCTCCTTGATTTTATGTGGTGTATCACGTTAACCAATTTGCGGATATTGAACCAACCTTGCAATACCAGAATAAAACCCACTTGATCATGATATATGATCTTTTTAATATATTGCTGGATCCAGTTTGCTAATATTGAGATTTTAGCACCTGTGTTCATCAGGGATATTGGCCTATAATTTTCTTTCTTTGTAGTGTCTTTATCTGGTTTGGAATTAGGATAATGCTGGCCTCATAAAATGAGCTTCTCTCCTCTTGAATTTTTTTCTAATAGCTTAAGAAGGACAGATGTTAGTTCTTCTTGAATACGTAGTAAAACTCACCTGGGAAGCCAGAACTTTTGCTTGTTGGGAATGTTCTGATTACTATTTCCATTTCATTAGTTATAATCTTTCTATTCATATTTTCTGATTCTTCCTGATTGAGTTCTGGAAGATTGTATGTTCTAGTAATTTATCCATTTCATCCATATTGTCCATATTTTATATTTTCTTATAATCATTTGTATTTCTTTGGTGTCAGCTGTTACTTCTCTTTCGTTTCTGATTTTATTTAATTGGGTCCTCTCTCCTTTTTTCTTGATGAGGTCTGGTCAAGGTTTGTCAGTCTTGTCATTTCAAAGAACCAGCTTTGGTTTCATTAATCTTTTGTACTGTTTTTTAGACTCTATTTTGTTTATTTCTGCTCTGATTTTTATATTCTTTCTCCTACTCACTTTGGGCTTTGTTTGTTGTTCTCTTTCTAGTTCCTTTAAGTGTAAAGTTGGATTGTTTATTTGAGTTGGTTTTTTGTTTGTTTCTTGAGGTAGGCCATAATGATATAAATTTCCCTCTTAGGACTGCTTTTGCTGTGTCCCGTTCATTTTATTGTGTTTCTTATACTCTCTACAAAGAATAAAGTTGCTCCTTCTTTGGGCCTCTTAAAGCACCTATCTATAATAATATTATATCAAATTATTTTCAATTTACTTTTCTTCCTCTTCTCTTTCCGAAACTAAATATCACTGCAAAGTAAATGACTGTGCACTTCTCTTACTTAGCAGAAGTACTTATTAAATACTGGCCAAATAAATAAACATAATATTGATGACCACCACATGAGCCATTCTGGAAAACATTAATATTACTTTGTATCTTTTAATTATCCAGAAAACTTCCAATGAGCACTATTAGATTTTGGTTCCTTTCACACTTTCCATGACACCCGTGCGATTTCATTTTTAAGCAAAAGGTATTGGTGAGAATCCTTTAGGTCTAGCACCAAAAGCAGGGATTCTGAACCTTGGCTACATATTATTACTATCTAAAGAGCCTTAAAGAAATACCAGTGTCTAGGTCAGTGACGGCGAGCCTACGACACGCATGTTCGAGGTGACACGCGAACTCATTTTTTTGGTTGATTTTTCTTTGTTAAATGGCATTTAAATATATAAAATAAATATCAAAAATATAAATCTTTGTTTTACTATGGTTGCAAATATCAAAAAATTTCTATATGTGACACGGCACCCTAGTTAAGTTAGGTTTTTTCAAAATGCTGACACGCCGAGCTCAAAAGGTTCGCCTTCACTGGCCTAGGCCCTATTCTCTGAAATCCCTATATAATTGGCCTGGCTGGGACCCTGACACTTTTTAAAAATCTTATCTCAGGAGTAGATGTACTGATCTAAAAGAAGGTAAACATATTCCTCACATACTAAATTGAATCAAGAAGTTTTTAAGAGCTGTCTTGAACTAAAAACTACCTAATACTATTTCAACTGAAATTGTTTAAAATTCCAGACAACTAAATTACAAATTAATTTTAGAGCATACTTATTTAAAGTTCAGGGAAAAAACTAACATTGATGCCAATTAAAATGATCAAAATATAACAAAGTATCTACAAGAATTAATCATTGTTTAGTGTTCAGAGAAAGATAAATGCAGAAAATAACAGAAGCTAAGAAAAGGGAAAGGAATTAGGGAAAACAACATGTACATAAGAAAGCTGCAACTGACAAAAACAGAAGATGCACATTGCAAAGGAGTAGGAAATAGCCCTGATTGGCATTCAACAAGCTTTCATTTCCTCCCCTGAAGTAGGTATTATTCCTGCCATTCCAGATAAAACATGGAGGCTCTGAAAAGCCCAAATTCCAGAGCCAAATGGAGCCTGGAATCAGACTCAGGCCTGTATGACTTTGAAGCCCACACCCTATCCATCATATTACACTGCTTCACAACAAAACAGGGAAGGAGAGAGAGAACAAATTCAAGGGCATTAAATGGCACAACCTACTAAAAAATTAGAGGAGTTCACTGAAGGCTTATAAGCCTGAAAATGAAGTTGGGGGCAAAATGGCATTCCAGAAGATTATCCTGCCAGTAAACAAGATGGATTAAGAGAGAGAGGTTAGCAGGCTCCAGGAGGCCACTCCTCCAGCCGCCTCCAAGAGGACTGAGCTTTGCCAATGACTGTAAATCCAAATAAATACCCAGCTTTCTAAACCGCCTGTTGCCAATAGAAGCCCTAGCATGAACCCCTGGGGGGGGGAGTGAGGAAGGGAGGGAGGGAGGGAAGGAGACATGGTATTAGAGAAAAGGAGACCACTGACTGCTTCATGATGAACCATGTGACTTAGAACTGTGAAAGTACTGCATTCTCTACTAGTTTCACAAGTTACAGTGGGGCCTTGACTTATGAGTGTCCCGACTAACGAGTTTTTCGAGATACGAGACATCTCTCGGCCGATTTTTTGCTTTGAGTTGCGAGCTAAAATTCGGGTTACGAGCTAGCTTCAGATACTCCACCACTAGTTGGCACAGCGAACATCACAGTGAACACCACAACATCAGCCCAGCATCACGTGTCTCACTCATTCACTTTTTGATTTGACATACGAGTAATTTGAGTTACGAGCTCCATCACGGAACGAATTAAACTCGTAAGTCAAGGCCTCACTGTACTTGACTTTTCAATGCTTTAAGGCAGCGGTTCTCAACCTGTGGGTCACGAACCCTTTGGCAGTCGAACGACCCTTTCACAGGGGTCGCCTAGGACCATCCTGCATATCAGATATTTACATTACAATTCGCAACATTACAGTTATGAAGTAGCAACGAAAATAATTTTATGGTTGGGTCACAACATGAGGAACTGTATTTAAAGGGCCAGAAGGTTGAGAACCACTGCTTTAAGGATACTTCTTTTATAAGACCCACCATACTGTATTAAAAACTTAGAAGATTCTTGATTGTCCATTGTAGTTATCAAATAATGAAAATTACGTAAGTTAGACAAAATACCAGATGTTTGCTTATACATAGTATTTACAAATCTAAATCTTATTTCATTATCTACATGGAAGTTAGAGTCCTAATTGGCCAGCCTCTTTCCAGTCTTTTACTCTCCATTTCACCCTTAAGAAAAGACAATCAATTCACTTTGCTAATACCTCATTCATATCTGAAGTTTCCCTAATCAAGAATCCAAATAGTTTCTTATTCTCTGCCCTTCATATGCTCCCTCTATCATTTCACTTAACCTCCTGTTCTCTCCAAAAGTATTAATGCCAGCCTCATCGCTCTGCCACAGAAAAACACACACTAACCTGGAGGTGTTTGACATAGTTCCCAAACTACCTCTTTCCATTCTCTCATTCAACTTCCAACTATCCATCAAAAGCTCAGTGCAAAATCTATTAGTCTCCACAATGCCCACTTCTACACCCAACAACACTTAAAACAGAATCCAAACTGTTGACTAATAGGCCACATGTGACTGATAGGCCCAAGTTTTGTGTTGTGGTGTGTATTTTTTTAATAAAATTTTATCCCATTGACAAAACTTAAAAATGGGAAATATCACTTTAAAAAACAACTGCATTTCCAACTTTCCTTGAAAAAACTGGATGCTATGGCAACACTGGGATCACACAGTCACAATGAGCTGTACCTGAGTAGCAGATGACCCTTTTTGAATGGCTCTTAGATGTAAAGTCTGGAAATAACAGTCCACTGCCTGACTTATGGGACTGTACCTGGAGCATTGCAATCATTCCAGAAATATCTGACTGTCTATCAAGCACTAGAGTTACAAAAATACAGCCTCTCCCCCACAACCTACCTTAGTGGAAAAGGCAGAGAGACAAGCAATTAGGATACATGAGATAAGGGCAATGATAAGGGAGGTAAAGGGCACTGAACGCATGGCTAGGGTATCTAACTCTGTCCATGGGAAGTCAGGGAACACCCCTCAGAGAAAGTGATCTGTAGCAGTCACAGAAATTATCCAGAAAGAGATCAGGGTAAAACAAAATGTCCGAGAGAACGAGAGAAGAAAAGTATTTGAGAGAGTTACATCAGCTCAACGTGGCTACAGCCATCACCCAACCTCAAAAGCAAGTGTCAGAGTAAAGCTCAATTGAAAGGGCTGGAGGGGGAAAGCCAAGTGTGAGTTAAAGTCAAGAGATGAAGTAGAATTTCCATAAAGTGACTGACTATGTAAAAAGAGTTGGTTAAGCAGGGAATAGAGGTTTCAGAGAGCTCAGCTGTGTTGAGAGGTGAAATGCAGAAATAAAAAGGAGAGAGCAGCAGTGACAGTCTAAACCACGGGAGGGGAAGCACCAAGCAGCACGGGGACGGGGCGGAGGCGCGGAGGAGACCGAAGGGGCTTACATCTCGGGCGGTAACCAAGGATAACGGGGATGTGGAGCATGGCAGTTTTGGCTGGCCACAAGTCTGCCAAGAGAATGAGTCCCGGCGGTCCCCGGGGGGACGCGGAGGCATGCGGGCCTCTCAAAAGGCAGCTGCGTCCTGGCTGGGTCGCACCTCGGGCGCTCTGTGCGGCATCGGCTTCCGTTCGGATCGTGCCGGCTCCGGGAAAGGCTCTGGGTTCCAGGCTGCTGCCACGCAGGCTCCCATGGAGTGGTGAGAGGCCTGGTCTGTGTGTGCTGGTGGGTAGAAGTTTAGTATAAACTACCTTGTATTATTTTCTGATTTTTCTGTAGGAATGCTGGGCCTGTATACATCCTCTTAGGAAAAAAAAAAGCAGTGGTGTGCCCATTATAGATTGACACAGGAAGGAAAAAAAGGTGCCGAGAAGTTCAACATCTGTCCATACCAGTACTCAAGGTGAGTCATTCCCGAATCCAAGTCTCCCCAACTGGATTAAGATATCGGACAGTTGGGGGGGGGGGGGGGGAGATAAAAAAAATGCCTGTTTTTGCATTTTGGTTTTTTTTTTTGTAGCTCTCAAAAATGCCTAATACCGAAGTGGATGCGTCGAACACATTCAGTAAAATTTACCGACTTCCTAACATTTCTGGGGTCATTAAAGTGACCCCGTTCAGTTCCCTTCTTGCAGACTAAGGCGCTCAAGAGACGCGAACTGTATGTAGCTCAGACTTAACACTTGGCTTTTTTTTCCAAACTCCACTGTGTCTGTCCACCCTCCACCGCAGAGGCACAGCTGCTCCCCGATTCCAATGCAGCGGGAGACCCCAAGTCCCGTCGCGGAAAACGCCCGCCCGCCCGCCACTCCCGCGAGGCCCCCGGCCCCGGCCCCCTCGCACAAAGGGAAAACATGCTCACCAACTCTGGGCCGCCGGGAGTCTCGGTAAATGTGGTAGTCTGTTCGTCGCCGCTCCGAGGCAGGCACTTCCGGCGCGCGCATGACGTCAGCAACGCGCCCGCCTCCGGGCCCGCGCCGGGGTCTAAAGCGAGCAGGGAGGGAAGAGGCTTTGGAGGCGCTGCCTTCTCGTCCGCGGCGCCAGGCCCTTCCCAGCCCCGGCGATGCCGCGGCCCCTGCGAGGGGGAAGGAGTCGTCGGGGTTGAGCGCCCCCGGAGCCGAGGGCTCGCGCTCTACCGACCGCCCGGGCCCGCCCCACTGGAAGGTAAACGCCGCCTCGGCTGCGGCCTGGCCGCCGGCCGGCCCCTCCCTCCCCAGGCCCCGCCGCCCACAGGACGGGCCTTTGGCTGCCCGGACCTTCCCCGTTAGCCGCCTGCGCGGTCCCCACCAGCACGGCCGACGCGTTTCCAGCGGGAACCTTGTCTAACGAGCGCTACCGCTGTGAGTTTCTGACGTTGTCCGCGTCCATCCCCCCGAGCGTCTGGCCCGGCCCTTCGAACCGGCTCGCCTTCGAATCCGCGTGTTGCCGTTTGTGAGCGTTCGGAACCCCCGTCTTAAAGATATAGCACACGCGCTTCTGAGACCGAAAATTAGACCGTGGTGGAGCCAGATGGGACTTTGAGGAAGTTTGCTGAACTTTTATGTGCATCCAAATGTGGGGCTAAAATGTCTTCTTGATGCCATTCCAGAGAAAAATAGTAAGACAACCAGGAAGGTATGGCACCCAGCCACAGTATGAGTGGAAATCAGTGGCTGACGTTCTTTCTGCGGCCCCAGGCTCTCCCTGCTGTGTGTATGCGAAGTCTTACACATATTTAAAAGCACTGTTTGCTCTCAGCCGGAGGGAAGATTAGTAACGCCCGGTTTTTCTCTCATCTGTTTAAACTGCACTTCCCCATTCACACTGGAGGCCGGCACTAAAAGGGTTAATTAGTGTGAAGAATCCACGTGAAATAGGACCAGAAAACTCTCTTAAGTGGTGTCTGGAGAAAAGGAATTTCTTAATTCACCCAACTGAGAGTCATTATTCACTATTATTCCTAAGCAGTAAGGAAGGTGTATGAATCTGGCATAATTAAATCAGTGGTTGCCCGTATTGGGTCTTACTTGGAATGAAGACTATACTGGCTTAGATTGCTTTTGGATCTGTTCGTTTTTCTTTTTAGAAATGAGTGGTGGATTGGCCCCAAGTAAAAGTACAGTGTATGTATCCAACTTGCCCTTTTCCCTGACCAACAATGACTTATACCGGGTAAGTAAGTTTTATTAATAGTACTATTACCTTCTGAATTATCTATTTGAGAAATAATTGTAGCTAAAGCAAACAGTTCTCCTTGGTAAAATTCTTTTTTTTTAAATATATTTTACTGATTTTTTACAGAGAGGAAGGGAGAGGGATAGAGAGTCAGAAACATCGATGAGAGAGAAACATCGATCAGCCGCCTCCTGCACACCTCCCGCTGAGGATGTGCCCACAACCAAGGTACTTGCCCTTGTCTGGAATCGAGCCTGAGATCCTTCAGTCCTCAGGCGGAGTAAAGACCTGAAGGAAGTAAAGGCAGCTGTCTAGGGGATAAGCATTTCAGGCACACAGTAAATCAAGTGAAGAGAAGAAGAGGAGCTGTCGGAGGTAAGCCCATGCAGGGATGCCTTATAAGGCCTACACAGATAATGGTAAGGACTCTGAGTGAATTGAGAAGCCTTTTGAAAGTGTTCTATGGAAAGCTGTCTGTATTGCCTTCAGAATTCAGTGTGGCTACACAGCAATCCAGTTATACCACATTCCAGCATTACACAAATTACTCAGAGGACTCAAAATTTATTATCATTGATTGCATATATTAATATATTCAAAAACACTTTTCTAAGAAGCAATATATAATAGGAACTATCTACACTAATAAAAGAGAAACATGGTAATTGGCATATGACCGCTACCCTTCCCATTGGCTAATCAGCAAGATATGCAAATTAACTGTCAGCCAAGATGGCGGCGGGCAGCCAGGCAGCTTGAAACTAACATAAGGCTTGTTTGCTTCAGTGACGGAGGATTCCAACGTTCCCCACCTGCCTTGCTGGCCTCTAAGCCTGCAGTCTGAAACATTGTAACAAATATAGAAGATGAACAAAACCCCAGAAACCAGCTTTCAGTGAGCCAGGATCTCAGAGCTGGAGTTGATACAGTGTCTCGATTATAGAACCCAGCAGAGGCCTCAGAGCTGGAGCAAGAGCTAAAGCTGGCCCAGAATTAAAAAAAAAAGAAAAAAGGAGCAGTTGGGAGCTTCAGTCACCCACGAGCCTGAAAACAGCCCTCAGCCCCTCACCCAGGCTGGCCAGGCACCCCAGTGGGGACCCCCACCCTGGTCTAGGACACCCTTCAGGGCAAACCAGCCAGCCCCACCTGTACACCATTCCTCTATTCTATATAGTAAAAGGGTAATATGCCTCCCAGCACCAGGATCAGCGTGACAGGGGGCAGCGCCCAAACCCCCTGATCACTCTGCGGCTCTGTGTGTGACAGGGGGCGGGGCCACAACCTCCCTATCCGCCCTGCTCTGTGTGTGACAGGGGGGAGCTCCCCAACCCCCTGATGGGCCCTGCTCTGTGAGTGACAGGGCAGCGCACCAACCCCCTGATCCACCCTGCTCTGTGCGTGGCGGGGCGGTGCCCCAACCCCCAAATCGGCCCTACCCTGAGTGTGACTAAGGGTGGCATTGCAACCTTCCGATCCGCCCTGCTCTGTGCATGACGGGGCAGTGCCCCAACTCCCCAATCGGCCCTGCTCTGAGCCCGACCAGGGGCTGCACCTAGGGATTGGGCCTGCCCTCTGCCACCCGGGAGCAGGCCTAAGCCAGCAGGTCGTTATCTCCCGAGGGGTCCCAGACTGCGAGAGGGCACAGGCCAGGCTGAGGGACCCCCCTTCCCCCCCGAGTGCACAAATTTTTGTGCACCGGGCCTCTAGTATATATATAAAAGGCTAATATGCAAAGTGTCCCCTAGGGAGTTCGATCTCTCACTATGATGTGTGCTGACCTCCATGGGGCAGCATGGAACGAAGAAAGGCCCTGGCCAGCAGCCGGAAGGCCCCAATTGGCCCTGATGGCCAGCCAAGCCTAAGGACCCTACCCATGCATGAACTTCCTGCACCAGGCCTCTAGTTAGTATATAAGTATTGGCTGAAACAATAAGTGAAATTGTGAGATTGCTTAGGGTGAAGATGTAGAAGAAAGGGCCAACTATAAAGTTTCACCAATACTTTAAGGGGGGACAGAAAGAGATTTGGGGAATGGATTTTTCATTACTGGAGCTTTGTTTTATGTTTTGTTTTATAAGCAATCTAAGGATCTGTCTTCTGAAACAGGTTGCTTGATTGGGTGGGAGCAGGCTGGGAATCATGATATTGTACAACATATTTATTTGAAATACAAGGATTCTTTGGAGCTGTGGTGGGGTTGATAGTTGCCATGGGTATATCACAATAACACAGCAACTGTATAATGTGTGTGCCTTCAATCAACCACACCTGAAGAGTGGGTTTTTTCCTCTGTATGTGCTCGTTTGTCAGAAATTTAGAAACTGAGACAGATACCTGGACTCCAATAACAAAATTAAAAATATTATTCTAGTCACTAAAAAAATTTATCTTACAGACTAAAGCCTAAAATTTTTCATAAACTATAACAAAGAATATGGCAAGTGTATGCAACATGAAAATTTAATGTTTTTGTGTGATTTTTAAATTAAATTGTAAATTGGTATGTGTTACTTTGTTTCAGATATTTTCCAAATATGGCAAAGTTGTAAAGTAAGTATTTGCATAAAATTTTGAAACTTCATTTAAAAGTTTATCTTAATTTACTTCTCCATTATTTTTAATGGTAGTCAATTTACTATATTTTATAAAACAAATATTTGATATAACAAAGTAAATGAAAATACTATTGTTAACATTTTTACATATATATGTCATTTTTCTATGTATGTAAACATGTACAATTTTCTTGACTCAATTAAATTCTGACAACTGCCTTTTAAGGTAAATACTGTTAATATCCTGTTATTATTATAAATGACAAAACTGAAGCACACAGTAAACCTAAAATTATATTGCTAGTTTGTAGTGGAGACTATTTAAATCCAACAGTTTGATTCCAGAGCCTACTCCCTTAACCCTACCATTACCTTTTTTGGTTTTGTCCCTGTCTGTCAGAATCGCCAAATGAATTTCCATACAAATATATAATTAAGAGAATGCTATGAAGTTAAAGACACAGAGTTGTAAGGACCTATATCAGGGAAGACCTGATCTAGTCTAGGTAGTGAGTGTAGAGTTGCCTAAGTCAGGATCCTTTGAGTTGAAAACTAAAGACTGAGTGAGAGTTAAGTAGGCAAAGCAAATGGAAGAAACATTTTCAGTAGAAGAAACTGCTTGTGCAAAGACCCTGTGGCAAGAGAAAATAAAGTGACATCATGAAACAGAGAGAAAGCCAATATGACCAGAGATGAGTGAACAAGAGGGAGAAATGCCAAGAGATGGAAGCGGGTTCCTAATCTTGCTTTTTGGCCAAGTTTCAAGATATTTGGTTTTCATCCTAAGAACAACAGGAATCCATTAAAGAATTTTAAATGAGGGAGTGACATTGCTTTACTGCCTTTATTTTATCAATGTTTAGTGCCTGGACTTGCAGCTAATTGAGTGACTGAATGACAACATGAATAAATAAATAGATGTACTCTTTTGAGAAACTAGTTTCCCATTTGCATCTATCTTTTTCTTTTAACATAATAGAAACAACCTTAAAGGAGTGTTTATTATAATACACTAGAGGCCCAATGCACGAAAATTCGTGAAATAGTAGGCCTTCCTTTCTCCGGCTGCCAGCACCAGCTTCCTTCCGGCACCAGGGACCCAGGCTTCCCTCCTCCGGCCACCGGAAAGCACCTGGGACCCAGACTGCTTCCCTCTTCCAGCTGCCCCCAGGCACCCAGGACCCAGGTGGCTTCCCTCAGGCCATCCGCAGGCACCCAGTACCCGGGCTGCTTCCCGCCTCCGGCTGCCACCAAGACCCAGGCTGGCTTCCCTTGTGCTGTCCGCAGACACCCGGGACCTGGCCTGGCTTCCCCCTGCCCTGGCTTCGTCAGGAAGGACATCCGGAAGACGTCCGGTCTAATTAGCATATTACCCTTTTATTATTAGATGAGATGAGGCATAGTTTTTACATAACTAGATTTCACTAGAGGCTAGCAGAAAGATGGAGAAAGTATTTCTAGTTAAAATAGTTCACCTTATACCCTATCCCAGCCTTGGAATCAGCCATTTCTCCTAAGAGCCCTATTGAACATTGTCTTTTAAACTATATTAGTGACATATAATGATGGATAAAAAGAACTAAGGATGTGTAAGGGATCAGAAGAAAGAGCAGACTCTGCTCTTACCACTTATGTACTTTGGGTGGTATGGCTAAGAACCACAGAGCTGGAGAGTCTTTAAAAGAAGTTTAAGACTGTAGTTAGAGTCTAAAACCTAGAAAAAAATAAGTAGTTTTACTTTTTTTGTTAAGAGAATACTTTGTTTTTTTCTACAAGACTTAGCAGAGAAGAGGAATTATGCTGAGTCTTCAAGATCCCATTGTCTCTGTAATCTCTGCTTCATTCTTAAGCCCCTGATTACAGTTTGATTTGTCAGATACTCCTAATCATACCTGTGTTCACTAGTGTTAAATCAGTATCATACTTTCTTATTTCCATTCTTGATATCCCATAACTTTGAAGAGATAAGCTATTTGTCAAATCTACTTATTGGTCTTACTATGTAAATGTTTTATTACCCTTTTTGAATACAGGTGTCTTCCAAGTTATTAATAGCTGTTTTATTTATTGCTGCTTCATTATTTTTAATTATTTGTTTATGCTTTTAAGGGTTACTATAATGAAAGATAAAGATACCAGGAAGAGTAAAGGTGTTGCATTCATTTTATTTTTGGATAAAGACTCTGCACAAAACTGCACCAGGGCAATAAACAACAAACAGGTAAGCCTTTCATTCCCAATAAGGTTTTTAACCTAAAAGACTTTGTGCTCATCCAGGCCAAAAATATGGGGATGTAGTGGGTGATCAAGTCTGACAGGTATCAGTAGGTTCCAAGGTTATTTATGTGGAAAAGAAAAGATGCCAAAACTGTACTGGTTTTCCAAAACATTAGTCAAATAAGGAAGTAAGAGTCTATTCTACAGAACAGAATTTGTCACACCTAAGTAGGCAATTGCTAAAATAATCTAAAAAATAAAATAGAGGAGAAACCAAGATGGCGGCATAGGTAAACACCAGAGTTTGCTGCCTCGAACAACCACTTCAAAAATACAACTAAAAGACGGAACGGACATCATCCAGAACCAGAGGAAGGCTGGCTGAGTGGAAGTTCTACAACAAGGAGGAAAGAGAAAAGCATACCAAGACTCAGAGGAGGCGCAGTGCTGAAGTAAAATACTAAGGTGCAGAGTGCATGCGGAGCGGGCTGGCAGCTGAGGGCACGGTTGTCGTTTTCAATCAGGAGGGAGTCTCAGGCTCTGAGCTCCAATTCCAGGCGAGTCTCTAGGGACCCAGACTCATATGGGAGAAGCGGGACTGTCTGGCATCGCTCAGAACCCTAGGGCAGCTTTCTCTCCATGGGGCTTGCAGCGATTACTGGGACACTGAGAAGCAGAGCCTCTGAGGGCAAGACTGAGAGCAGCCATAATTGCTAACCCCGCCCTGTTGATCCTGTGAGACCCGCCCCGCCCAAGCCCTGCAGGGAGACTTTTGCTGGATAGCCTCAGGCAAAGGCTAGATTAGTACCTCCCTAGAGATCCAGGAGCCAGGAAGCCCAGAGGTCAGAGTGGGACCATCCAGTTTGCAGCTCTGTGGAACCATAAAAGACACACTCAGGGGGCAGACTCAGTGAGCACCAAAGCCCCATCGAAGCAAGTCTAGCCCCAGAGGGGTGTCTCCAGCACAGAAGTTCTCCCACTGCAGACACAGCTGATTCTCACAGCCAATTGGCCGGGAGGTCAATTCCTCACAGTGATAACTACAACAATCAAAGCTTAATTACAACAAGACTGTGCACAAAGCCCACAAGGGGGTGCACCAAGAGGGTCTACCTCAGGTAATTGGGACAGTTAGCACAGAGAGGAACTCTGTCGACACAGCGAAGCATAAAAAATGCCGAGACAAAGAAACAGGACACAAACGACAGAATTGGAGGAAAGCAAACTGTTGGATATAGAGTTCAAAACCACACTTTTAAGGTCTTTAAAGAACTGTCTAGAAGCCGCCGATAAACTTAATAAGGCCCTCGAAAAGACTGGTGAGACCGCCGATAAATGTAGTGAGATCTTCAAGAAGACTGGTGAGACTGCCGATAAATGTAGTGAGATCCTCAAGAAGACTGGTGAAACCCTCAATGTTGTGATAAAGAACCAACTAGAAATTAAGTAAACACTGACTGAAATAAAGAATATTATACAGACTCCCAACAGCAGACCAGAGGGTCACAAGAATCAAGTCAAAGATTTGAAATACAAAGAAGCAAAAAACACCCAACCGGAAAAGCAAAATGAAAAAAGAATACGAAAATAGTGTAAGGAGGCTCTGGGACAGCTTCAAGCGTACCAACATCCGAATTATAGGGGTGCCAGAATAAGAGAGAGAGCAAGATATTGAAAACCTCTTTGAAGAAATAATGACAGAAAACTTCCCCTACCTGGTGAAAGAAATAGACTTCCAAGTCCAGGAAGCACAGAGAACCCCAAACAAAAGGAATCCAAAGAGGACCACACCAAGACACATCATAATTAAAATGCCAAGAGCAAAAGACAGAAAGAGAATCCTAAAAGCAGCAAGAGAAAGAAACTCAGTTACCTACAAGGGAGTACCCATATGACTGTCAGCTGATTTCTCAACAGAAACTTTGCAGGCCAGAAGGGAGTGGCAAGAAATATTCAAAGTGATGAATACCAAGAACCTACAACCAAGACTACTTTATCCAGCAAAGCTATCATTCAGAAGTGAAGGCCACATAAAGAGCTTCACAGATAAGAAAAAGCTAAAGGAGTTCATCACCACCAAACCAGTATTATATGAAATGCTGAAAGTTATCCTTTAAGAGGAAGAAGAAGAAAAAGGTAAAGATACAAATTATGAACAACAAATACACATCTATCAACAAGTGAATCTAAAAATCAAGTGAATAAATAATCTGATGAACAGTATGAACTGGTGATTGTAATAGAATCAGGGACATAGAAAGGGAATGGACTGACTATTCTTGGAGGGGGGAAAAGGGTGTGGGGGTGAGGGAAGAGATTGGACAATAATCGTGCACCTATGGATGAGGACAGTGGTGGGGAGTGAGGGCGGAGGGTGGGGTGGGAACTGGGTGGAGGGGAGTTATGGTGGGAAAAAAGAGTAACTAATGTAATAATCTGAACAATAAAGATTTAATTTAAAAAAAGAAAATAGAATTGAAGGTTTGAGGAAATGGGATCAGTGAATACATATTCTGCATTTACATTTTCTCCTGTTTAGTTATTTGGTAGAGTGATAAAGGCAAGTATTGCTATTGACAATGGAAGAGCAGCTGAGTTCATCCGAAGACGAAACTACTTTGATAAATCTAAGTGTTATGAATGTGGGGTGAGTATAGCTAAAACTTAATGTAATTTTCTCTAGTGTACAGTACTTTCACACCAGTATTTTATTTGTGCTCTTCTAAACTCCTGGGTGGCTAAAACCAGGTTATGAAAGATGTTTTAATCTGGGACTTGACTCGTCTATGCAAACTCAATTGAAATGTAGTATGTAGAGCAGGACCCAGAGATGGTGGAGTTGGGTCTAGATGTAGCAGTCAGGTGTGAGAGGGAGGGGGGAAGGTTCTGGAAGGGTGATCATGGTACTCAAGGCTTGGTCTGCAGGCCTATGGGACACGCAAGGACAAATGTGAAGTTGGCGGGTCCTGAGTGGTGCTTAGAGCCGGCAGGGTGGCAATGGGGCTGGGCAAGGTAGGTGTGAAGGTGGTAGAGGAGGGCCCAGGGTCGAGCCCAGAGTCCTGCGACCTCCAAGAGACCTTGAAGGAAAAGAGCCTTTGAAGGAACAGGAGAAGGTGGAGCCCAAGGAAAGGAAATGGAGGGGTTTGCAGGTAAGAAGAGCTGAGTCCTGAGCAACACCAGAGGGATCAAAGAAGTAAAGACTGTTCTAGAACTATCCTCAAATAATGGTGGCTTTTAAAAAAGCCTTGGAAGGGAATTCCCTGTTGCTGAAGGGAAGCAAAGAGGCCATTTCCCACAGGGCACACTGCGGGAGAGGAGGGGCCGGGAGAGGAGGGGCCGTCTCCAGTTAGTGCAGCTCCCACCCACCTGGTGAGGAAGGGAGGCAGAGCTCATACCCTCAGAACCAGGGAGGGTGCAGAGTGAGGGGCCGCCCCCACCCACCGCATTCCTTCTCTTTGCTGCTCAGCTCCACGCTTTCCCACAGCTCCTCTCTGGTCTGGGAACCAAATGGTAACCAGTTACAGGCCCAGCTTCCTATCCTTTCGTTCCCTGAACCCTGCCTACCCTGCCAGCGTGAGGGAATCCCCGGCTGAGCAGCCAGGCCCCCGCCACCTGGGCACCCAGAGCAGGCGGCCAACTTCCTGTCTGACTCCAGCAAGTCAGGTTTGCCTGCCTGGGCTTCGGCTTTCCTGCATGTAAAATGGAAAGAGTCCCACAGCAGGGCCACCCTAGAGCACACAGCCAAGGCCAGGAGGGGGATGAATGGCCCGTCCGGAGCAGGAGGTGGCGAAGCGGGCACGCCGGCCGGGCCAGAGCGTGGAGGGCCTGGAAGGCCTGGCTTTGCAGTGTGGACTGGACCCTGCAGACCCGGCCTTGGCAAGCTCTTGCGCTGATGTCCCCGAAGCCGGAGCCAAGCACCTCTGTGAGCCAGGGCCGGAGTTCTTAGCAGCCCCAGATTTTCTGGCCCTTTAAATACAGTTCCTCATGTTGTGACCCAACCATGAAATTATTTTTGTTGCTACTTCATAACTGTAATTTTGCTACCGTTATGAATCGTAATGTAAATATCTGATATGCAGGATGGTCTTAGGCGACCCCTCTGAAAGGGTCATTGGACCGCCAAAGGGTTCACGACCCACAGGTTGAGAACCGCTGCTCTAGGAAGTCCTCACAGGGTCTATTTCATAAACTTGACATGAGTTTTAATTTAAGGAACTACAATGTAAAATTGCATTCTGCTGAAGAAAGATAATTCTACTTCACTCACTTCACTGCCACCCCCAGCACAGACTGAGGCCCAGTTCCCAGAGCGAAGCTCCCCGGGGGAAGGGCCACGGCCCCCACGGGCACCCCTTCTGGGTCCCTCTCCTCTATGGGGTCTGTCCTTCAGCAGGTGCTGTGTGGAGTGGGCTTCCCGGGAAGAGGCCCTGAGCTGGGCCTGGCTGCCAGCGAGATGTTGCCATCAGCTGAGTGCATTTGGTAGAGGCGGGAACAGGTCCCTTTCGGCCCCTTCAGAAACCGGTCCCACCACTTCTGAGCCGTGTGACCTTAGACAAGTTAACTAACTGTCTGTAACCTTGGATGAGCTCACTATCTGATCTCGGGTAAGTTAACTTGCTGCCTGTGATCTCAGATAAATAGCCTTCTTGCCTCTGGGCCTTGAGGCTACACGGAGCAGAAATGCCCTCGGTGGCGACCTTCCCCCTCTCCCTTCCCCCTCTGCCCGCCCCCAATCACACGCTCACACCTCCGGCTTCTCCTTCCCCACCTTCTCTCCACCCCATATCTCTGTCGGGCTCTTGAGGACTCAAAATAAAACAAAAAAAAAAAAAAAAAAAGAAAAAAAAGAAATGTAGTATGAAAAGGTAACCTGAGTTGGATGATACAGAGTGACATTTTCTCCAGTTTCTAAATCTTTGAAAACTGTTAGGTTAAAAAGTATTGACTAATTACTTATATTATTGTCTTAAAAGATTTTAGTGACCCATAAATATTTGTGTAAAATGGGATATTGCCTGTTTCTATAATATTTTGCCAGTTTAGTGTCTGCCCTCTGGTGGTCAGTGCGTTTTAAATCGACTGGTCGACCTATCGTTCTGGTCATTTGGTCTTACCGATCACTTAGGCTTTTATGTATACTAATATATTCGTGCTCTTGGGTGGAGAGTGTCCCTCAGCCCAGCCTGCACCCTCTTCAATCTGGGACCCCTGGGGGATGTCCAACTGCCTGTGGGATCGGGCCTAAATTGGCAATTGGATATCCCTCTCACAATCCGGGACTGCTGGCTCCCAACCGGTTGCTTCCTGCCTTCCTAATTGCCCCTAACCATTCCCCTGTCAGCCTGATCGACACCTAACTGCTCCCTTACCGGCCCGATCGCCCCCAACTGCCCTCCCCTGCAGGCCTGGTCACCCCCAACTGCCCTCTCCTGCCAGCCCAGTCGCCCCTAACTGTCCTCCCCTGCAGCCCTGGTCACCCCTAACTGCCCTCCCCTGCCAGCCTGGCCTGGTTGCCACTAACTGCCCTCCCCTGCAGACCTGTTCGCCCCCAACTGCCCTCTCCCTGCTGGCCTGATCTACCACAACTGCCCTCCCCGCCAGCCATCTTGTGGCTGTGGGCACCGCCGTCTTTGAGGAGTGGCAGTCAATTAGCATATTCCCTCCTTATTGGCTGTAGGCGCCTCCATCTTTGTGATGGCCTGAGGGTCAATTAGCATATTCCCTCTCTATTAGATAGGATAGATGGTTAGTCTAGCACTGTCAAATATGAATACAATGCAAGCCACAAATGTAATTTTAAATTTTCTAGTAGCCACATTGAAAAAGAAACAAATAAAATTTAAATCTTTTACTTAACCCAAAATGTATCTAAAATGTAAAATATAATCATTTAAACTATGGTAATTAATGTTTTAAAATTAAGATATTTTACTTTCTTTTTTCATATTGTCTTCAAAATCTTGTATATATTTTACCCTTAAAATGCGTATCAATTTAAACGGGTTCTCGCTAACCACAAAAGAATTATGGCTAGTGGTTACCATAATTGGACAGTGCAGGGATCATCTAGATATGAAAGAAGCAAAATGAAATTAATTTGGAAAAATGAGGAAACTAAATTTGTTTTTGAAACAGAATGTTAAGCAACATCTTGGGAGTTAGGAATAGTTTTGTCCCAATTTTATCAAGTAACTAGAGGCCCGGTGCATGAAAATTCATGCACTGGAGGGGGGTGGGGTCCGTCAGCCCAGCCTGCCCCCTCTCACAGTCCGGGAGCCCTCAGGGACAGGAGGCGACACCCCCATCACATCTCTGCTGCTGCCACTGCCAGCTGCACAAGCCTCGGCCGGCCCTGGTTACCTGAGCCTTGGGCAGCCCTGGGAGGCTGGGGAGCTGACATCCGAGGAAGAATACTTCTTTTACTCTTAGGTCTTTGTGGACTTCTAAAATACTTTCTCATTGTTAAAATAGCTTATTAGGAGTTAAAATTACCTTCTAAATATTAATGGGTTTTATTAATTTCTTCATATATGTTCCCAGTGTGACAGTATCTTTTTTTATTTTTTTAAGTTCTAACACCTTTTAGTCTTCAGGTACCAGGCAAGTTTCTATTAATAACACAACAAATATAATATTTTCCTTTCCTTTTTAATGGGAAACAAAAGGAAAGTGGACACTTAAGTTATGCTTGTCCTAAAAATATGCTTGGAGAACGTGAACCTCCAAAGAAGAAAGAGAAAAAGAAAAAAAAGAAAATTCCTGAACCAGAAGAAGAAATGTATGTAAATCCACTCTTACTAAATACATTATAGTGTTGTTTCTGTCTTTTTACTATTGGTTAAATGCATTCTGGTTTTATTTTTTTTTAATTTAGTGAAGAAGTAGAAGAAAGTGAAGATGAAGGAGAAGATCCTTCTCTTGACAGCCTCAGTCAGGCCATAGCTTTCCAGGTACTAAGTAGTTTTTTTAAAAGGCACCATGCCATAGCAGCCTTGGGTTAACAGTTTTATATTCCTTACTTACTTTATTAATCATCTCCTCATTGTGGCAACCTGTCTTTCCCCTTCTCCTCCTAAACTTCAGGAGACTGACTACTTTTCTAAGGTCTTTAGAAACATTATGATAGAAAAGTTCCTATTGGCTCCTAGATTTTGAGGACCCTATAGCACTTTTAATATCATAATTTGTTTTCATTATAGAATTGAGCAGAACTATTTGATTAAAGTGAGTTTAGCCCAACAGAAAAGATTTTATTAAAGATATTGAAAAGATACCTTTGAAAGAAGCTTCGCTTCAAAACAAAACCAAAAACATATTTTTGACAACTAAAGACCCTAATACAAATATATGAAATATTTTTTAAAGAAAGATACATAATCTCCTAATTTTTATATAACCAGATATTTTGTTTTAATGTAGTTGACAAATGGTAAATGTATACGTCAATTTATTTTTCCTTTTAGTTACCTAATTTCATATTTTATAATTTCCACCTTCAGCAGGAATGGAAAGTAGGCTTCATTTACTGTGCCTGTTAATTAGTAGAAATGCCTAAAATAATTTTGAGTAACATGGTGAAACGGATGTATGGGGAGTGAGGGAGGAGCATTCTGATGAAGTAGAATTGTTTGCACAGACTTGGAGGGTGGGGAGTGTTGGCACGTGTGATGTGGTTTTGCATTATTTTGAATTAACGTACCATAATAAACAGGTTCCTGGTTTTGTTTGTTTTCTTACAGCAAGCCAAAATTGAAGAAGAACAAAAAAAGTGGAAACCCAGTTCAGGGGGTCCCTCAACCTCTGATGATTCAAGACGCCCAAGGATAAAGAAGAGCACGTATTTCAGTGATGAGGAAGAACTTAGTGATTAAAATTATATTTATTATGTAAATATTTTTTTTAAAGATTTAATCTTAGAGTACCAAGTTCAGTTGGGACTAAAGATTGTTTTTAGAATTTGATCATAAAAATACTTAATGCCAAGTAATTTTTTTACTATAAAATAGTTCGCCCTAGCCAGATAGTTGAGGTGGTTAGAGCGTCATCCCAGTACACCAAAGTTGTGGGTTCAGTCCCCAATCAGGGCACATATAAGAATCAATCAATATATGCATAAAAAAGTGGAACATCAGCCTGGCCAGCATGACTCAGTGGTTGAGCATCAACTAGAAACCAAGGAGGTCATGGTACAATTGCAGGTCAGGACACATGCCCAGGATACAGGCTCAATCCCCAGTGTGAGGCTTGCAAGAGGCAGCCAGTCAATGATTCTCTCTCATCATTGATATTTCTATCTATCTCCCTTTCTCTCTCTCTAAAATCAATAAATATTTTTAAAATTACTATAAAGTAGTTATTGAAAAGAAATTTTAAAGTATCATGCTTCTATCCTGCCTTAGGAGAGTATTAATAATAAAGATTTGTTATTAACCATTAATCTTGAAAATATATTTTAATTAAAAAGAAAATATATAATAATGCTATTGTCATCCCAGGAAATAAGGTATATATTAAAAAGATTTGTTTGAGGGTTTATTTTAAAAATGTATTAGCCTTGATTAGTTTACATGAGGACTTTTAAAATAAATTTCACCAGCAAGAAAAAACCTTCATAAAGACTGGAAAAAGTTGAATGATGTATTGTTATTAAATATTAAAAAAATTTTCAAGAGAATTTTGTTTTTAATATGGGTGCTTGTCACCTTATTTCTTATAGCTTGATCCCAATCTGGATTACATTATAATTTCCCCTAAAATATAAAGTAGCTCTAAAATGCTTATAACCAAACAGCATTAATTTACCTTGCCTTTGGCACCCAAGTTCCATTCCCCTAAAGCAGCTAATTTAAGGTGTTTCTTTTCATATGTACATATATTTTCCTAAATAAGATGCATATATTTTTCTACTTAATTCATAAAGGGATAGAGGATTTTTCCATCTTCTATACTCCCCACTGCCTTCCTCCGTTTTTCAGTATGGTTATGTTAAAATTGTTGGTTAAGTCCATTTTTACTTAATGACCATGTAAATACTGTTCACTTCTGAGCTAACAAGTGTGCTATTATATTTTTTCAGAGTTAATTATTGCCTCATTTTTTATGTGTTATAGATCTTTTTATGTATGACTAAATCTGCCCATACCTTCTGCAGATAGTTATATGGGAATGGGATTATAGAGCCTTTAATTTTCTGTGTTTGTATATTTCTATAGTGTTTGAATGCTCTTAAAAAGAATACCCACTTACTAGTTTTCTTAAATTACTAAAAGCAATAAAAATATTTCCACTTTGAAAACTACACAGGCGATGAAAGTGTTAACCACTTGCCAGCAAAGAATCTAGATTGCAATGAGGAAAATATTCAATATGAACAGACAGATCAGCACCAACAAACATTTGAGGAAATGGAGACCCAAATGACCAGACCAAAAAGGATCTTAAAGGAGCTGAGAAAATTCTGGCTAAAAAAATCAATCTGGGCCCAAACAGTTTGGCTTGGTGGATAGAGCGTTGGCCTGCGGTCTGAAGGGTCCCAGGTTAGACGCTGAAGGTGGCCTCCAGGAATCTTAAGAGCCCACACCTGGCCTCTAAGCCCCTCAGCCCTGGCCACCACACTGAGCTCCAGCTTGTGCTCTGCCCTTCCCTGGAACCAGATCTCTCACTGAGCCCTCCATCTGCCTCTCACCCACCTGAGCTTCCAAAGGTGTAGGAGGGCACCTCCTTTGGGGGTGGGATTCCCAACTAGGCAGGACAGAGCCTCCTAAGGATTGCAGAAGGTTGGGGAGGGGGGTTGCTGGGCGGCCTTTGGTCTGGGACATGGGGTTCCCTTAGATTGCGGGTGTACCTCCCTCCGCAGCACAGGGGTTCATTTGGTTCCCTCTGTTTCTGGGCACTGGCCCCACGGATTTCAGGGAAAGGGACTGTGGATCCATAATAAACTTGGTGCTTTCTAATATTGAAAGCATTTGTCAATCAGTGCTGGATATAAGGGATGCTTTCCCTCTGCAATCATTTATTCATTCATTTGCTTTTTTGACTAGATGCCTATTCTGAAACTGCCAATTATAATTTTCAGATTATCACAAAAATCAGTTAAAACCACATATAGTAGGACATTTATAAGTAACTAGAGGCCTGTTGCATGAAGAGATTCGTGCAATAGGCCTTCCCTTCTCCTGGCTGCCAGCACAGGTTTTCCTCCGGCACCCAGGACCCAGGCCTTTACTCCGGCCTTTACTTAGGCCACCTTCAGTCTTCCATCTTCACTGCTCCGGCTTGCCTTCAGTCTTCCCTCCGCCACTTGGAGCCTATGTATGCAAATTAACTGCCATCTTTGTTGGTGGTTAATTTGCATATCGTGCTGATTAGCCAATGGGAGGCTTAGCGAAGGTATGGTCAATTACCATGTTTGTCTATTAGATAGGATAAATGGTAATTTCTGTTTTATATCGGTAAGTGTACATATATGATCACAACAGTGATCATGAGATATGTAGGCATTACGATGTATGAATAGTAAAACCTTGACTACCATATCTAGAGGTCTTGAAGTACTTGAAGTTTTGCATATAATATACTACAGATAAAATAAGTCATTTAGACTCAAATCATATATAGAAGTGTGATAGGTGACAGGAAGAGCCATGGAATCACATAACTGAGCCATTCAGCTTCAGAAATGGATGAATGGGTTAAAATGTCCCACATAGAATAAGGGTATTCCTACACAATGTTTCATCTATTTTCAGGTTGGAATCAATGTGGAAATAACATCCTGTCAAAAGAATCTTAAGCTCTCCTTTCATCACTGTCAAGGACAGAATACCAAGGCAGCTGAGCAGGAGACACAGAGAAAATATAGATACAGCACCAAACAAAAAGAAGCCATTTCCCATAATAAGCAATTTCACAGACTATTTGCAGAAAATATGGAAAAAACATTAAAATCTTTTTGGAAAGCAGTTCCATAAGCACTGTTACTAAAGTAACAATGCAAACAATTACAGTCAGAGACAAACCTAAGTCCACAGAATGGGTTTAGCCACCATCAATTACTTTTTTTAAATACATTTTTTATTGATTTCAGAGAGGAAGGAAGAGAGATAGAAACATCAATGATGAGAGAGAATCATTGATCAGCTGCTTCCTGCATGCCTGACGCTGGGGATCGAGCCCGAAACCAAGGCATGTGCCCTCACCAAGAATGGAACCGTGACCTCCTCGTTCGTAGGTTAATGCTCAACCTCTGAGTCACACCAACCAGACGACTATCAATTACTTTAAACATATATATATGTGTGTGTATATATATATGTATGTATGTATATATATATATATGTATGTATATAAGTATGTATGTATGTGTATATATATATATTGATCCCCACACTGGGGATCAAGCCTGCAACCCAGGCATGTGCCCTTGACTGGAATCGAACCTGGACCCATCAGTCCATAGGCTGATGCTCTATCCACTAAGCTAAACCAGCTAGGGCTCAATTACTTTTAAAATTGCTTTTATCAGATCCAATTTTAAGAATCCTTAGGTATAGATAAAATCAATTAGGTATAGATAGAATCAATTAGTAATTTTAGTTACGATCTGGTACCTAGAGTAAGCTGACCAGAAATATAACAGCTTTTATACAATGTGGGCTTAAGCAAATTCTTTTCCCAGAGAGTTGCATTTCTGATCACATCTTTGCAGATGCATAGCTCTATGCAAAACACAAAACAATTTATAAAGGAGATATTATAGTTTGGTTAGGACTTTATGTGTATACTCAAAACGATTTAAATCCAAACACAAGCTTTTAAAAATTATCTGAGAGAATTTGTATCACATATTTAGCACTATGCATCAGGCACTGTCTTAAAAATATCTATATATGTAAAGGCTATTATGCTAAGTGTTCCTCTGACTGTCCGACTGGTTGCTATGATGTGCAGGGAGCAGACGCTCAATGCAGGAGCTGCCATGACGCACACTGGCCATTTACAAAGAAACGGCACTGCAGACCTGATGCCGACAAAGCCACATTCAGCTTCCCCCATGTGGGACACAGGCCCCGACACCCCACCAAATCGCAGTCAACACTGCCAAGACCCCATGGCATGAAATGCAGCCCCCAGCCCAGCCCAGCCCAGAAACTGGCTGTGGGTGCTGGGTAATAACATCACGTAGCAACCCTGCCTTCCTCTACCTAGCAACTAGCCTCCTTGGAGTTTCTTCAGCTCAGGAATATGACTTGCTTTATAGGGAGGTGCAAACATTTCACACTTTAACCCAGTGGTTCTCAACCTGTGGGTCGCAACCCCTTTGGGGGTCAAACGACCCTTTTACAGGGGTCGCCTCTGACCATTGGAAAACACATATATAATAACATTGTTTTTGTGATTAATCACTATGCTTTAATTATGTTCAATTTGTAACAATGATATTGGGGGTCACCACAACATGAGAAACTGTTAAAGGGTCATAGCATTAGGAAGGTTTAGAACCACTGCTTTAACCAAATGTATGTTAAGCATTTTCCCATGCCTCATCTCATTTGATCCTCACAGAAGTCCTGGTGTAGGTAAATAGGAGACTCGGTGGAATTTTATTTTATTTTCATTTGCCAGAAAACGGAGATTTAGAAAGTTTAGAAACTTGACCCTACTGAAAAGAAGTAAGAAATGTTGGACCTTAAAAATGACTTCAGGTTTTCTAATTGCACAGAATATGGTGAAACACTGCTGCACTTCAGTATTTTACCCTTTGTTCTCCCTGCGTGATCTACAATAATCTGCTTCGTGTTGATATTTACTGCTGTGTTGCTGACAATTACCTGAAAGAGAAGTTGGGTGCTTCACTGGGCTGGAAAAAGTTTAGCTACATCAGAAAGCAGGTCTAATTAAGCAAGTTTATTCTATCCTGTATAATAAAGAGCTAATATGCAAATGGTCATCACATGCATAACAACCGATCAGCAGAAGGCTGCATGCGTGGCAGGCGGGCACGGGTGGGCAGGGCTGCATGCATGGTGAGGCGGGGGGACATGAGGCTACGTTCCCTGCCGGCACCAGCCAAGGGACATGAGGCTGCGAAGGGCCAAGGCACAGCTGCAAAGGGCCCAAGCTCAGGCCGGCAGTGGCAGCAGCAGCGGGGTAATAGAGGTGGCACCTTCCCCTGATCTACCAGGTCGCCTCCTGCAGAGGGAGGTCAGACTGCAGCTTAGGCTGGGGGCTTAGGCAGAGGCGGTTAAGGGCACTCAGGGCAGTAGGGGGGCAAGTTAGGGGCAATCAGGCCAGCAGGGGGGCGAGGTAGGAGAGGGCAGGCTGGCAGAGGGGCAAGGTTGGGGCAATCAGGCTGGCTAGGGGGAAAGTTAGAGGTGATCAGACTGGCAGGCAGAGGGGTTAGGGGTGATCAGGCAGGCAGACAGGCGAGCAGTTAGGAGCCAGCAGTCCCAGATTGTGAGAGGGATGTCCGACTGCCGGTTTAGGCCCGGTCTCTGTGGGATCGTGTCTAAACCGGCAGTCACACATCCCCCGAAGGGTCCCAGATTGGAGAGGGTGCAGGCCAAGCTGAGGGACACCGTCCCCCCCCCCCCATGCAAGAATTTTGTGCACCGGGCCTCTAGTTTATACTAACTAAAGGCTAATATGCTAATTAGACCAGATATCTTCCAGACGTCCTTCTGGACAAAACCACAGTGGTGGGGGCCGGGGCAGAGGTGGTTAGGGGTGATCAGGCCAACAAGGGAGAGCAGTTAGGGGGATCAGGCTGGCAGGGGAGAGCAGTTAGGGGGATCATGCTGGCAGGCAGAGGTGGTTAGGGGCAACCAGGCAGGCAGGGGTCCCGGATTGGAGAGGGTGCAGGCCGGGCTGAGGGACACCCTCCTGTCATGCACGAATTTCATGCACCGGGCCTCTAGTGTGTGTGTGTGTGTGTGTGTGTGTGTGTGTGTGTGTGTGTACTAGAGGCCGGGTGCACAAAAATTTGTGCACTCGGGGGGAAGAGGGGGTCCCTCAGCCTGGCCTGTGCCCTCTCGCAGTCTGGGACCCCATGGGAGATAACGCCCTGCTGGCTTAGGCCTGCTCCTGGGTGGCAGAGGGCAGGCCCAATCCCTACGTGCAGCCCCTGGTCGGGCTCAAAGCAGGGTTGATTGGGGTGTTGGGGCGCCGATCCCTGTCATGCACAGAGCAGGGCGGATCGGGAGGTTGCGATGCCACCCCCAGTCACGCTCAGGGTAGGGCCAATCAGGGGGTTGGTGAGCTCCTCCCTGTCACGCACAGAGCAGGGCCCATCAGGGG